TGGTTAATCTATGTAGATCACCAAATTTTATTGGTTAATTTCTGTAGATCACCCAAATAAGGAAATTTGAAATTTGGGGTAAAATTGGTCCAGTATTTACAGCTGTTTTCATAAATCTGAAAATTTTTTCAATGACCGAATCGATAAGTTACCAAGTCGAAATCAATAAAATTGCTGACGTCGACCGATATCAAAATCAAAAACTTATCGATTCGGTCATCGGCGCGGTTTACCGGATCATAGTTTGGATCGCTAGACAATTATACTATATACTAGGAATCGGGAACCGATATAAGTCCGGAGCGTAAATAAAAAATTAATTACTCTAAAGTGTATAAATAAGTTACCCGGGCAATTGATTTGTTGCGGACAGACAAAATATTTCCAAATTACGATCTTGACATATTTGTTTATGATAATTATATGATGCAATTTTTATGGTCAAATGCATCAAAAACACAACGTTTGTATCACAAAGGTAAGCGGAAGCGAACAGACAGACTCACGTGATACTATCGATCAAACAGTGTTGTAAAAATAGACAATAAGCAATACTTGAATGTGTGCCAGGTTTATGGCGCAGTCATAATTCTTTAAAGTTCGCTTATGTTAGGTTAGGGCTTTTATTATGGTTAGAGGTTAGCAGCGTATATAGTAAAATTACTCAAGGAAACTTTTTGTTATGCGCGAAGAGTAGTTTTATATTGTTACAGGCAAAACCGTGTATTAACCCTACCTTGAATCTTCGAGAAATTACTGCCAAGAAGCCCCAGACTTGGATCGTAGTACGAACGCAGTATCCCGTGAGCGAATGCCCATTGAAGCGACGATCACAAGCCAAGCCCCAATGCAAGATCTGCCATCGAACCTAAAAAGGGAAAGGTTAATTTCGGTTAACCTGATTGTTACAATGACGGTCAAAATCGAACGATGGTCCAATTTTACCTTCTTTGGATAAAAGCGTGGCCGTGTCAAAGATTGTGGTAATGAGGTGGGGATTTAACGGTGGAGAAATGGCGTGCATCTTTTTTTTTTCTTCGTTTTTGTCTTCCTTCATTGAAAATACTAAGGCTGTGTGAGAGTAAGGGGTAAACGATTAGTCAAAAAAGGTGGGAACGGTTTGAGGCCAATGAGAAAAAGGCTGTATTAAAGCCATATGAAATCCGCAAAACTTTTCTTTTCTATGAAATTTTTTATAAATAGGGTTGAATTTTTCCCTTGTAAGCAGTGTGTGTATCCCTTACACAACAAAAAGAAAAAAATAATAATAATAATTATTCCATTAATAAAAGTCTTCAAAACCAACCTAAATCATAAAGCTCTTTAAAAGTCTTACCTAGTACCTCTGTAACGCACTCAATAGTTGCCTTAGACCGAATCCGCCTCTCCTTCATTATTAAGTAACGTTACGCAACGCCCTTCTTTGTGGGTGTGTGTGTTGGTGTTTTTCCCTATCGCTATAACAATATGCAATTTTTCAAGCAATAAGCGATTAATAAGCGATTATTGACAAAACGAGCATGATTTAAGTATCCATTTGATTGGTTGTCGATCTTGAATTTTTATTGGCTAAAAATCCTATATGAAAATACAAAAATACAAACGGTTATAAGAAACATTACCAACGAATCTGATTACATCAGATTAAAATTTGCCAGAGCAAGTAACGTCGGAGAATAAAATTTCTTTAAAGTTTCGTCAGCTATTTATTATGCAAATTTATTCAAAGTATTCACATAATAAACAGCTAACGAAACTTTAAAGAAATTTTATTCTCCGACGATACTTGCTTCTGGCAAATTTAATCTGATATTGGTAATTTTTTCTTATATAATCACACCCTTGGTTTTAAGAATTTGGTGCTTATAGAGAATTTGTGCTTATATAGAGGTTAAATTTTATAAGTACAGTCAGACCTCTCTATAGTCACCTCCTCTATAGTCATATTTGCTTATAATCACATAAATTTTTAAAACCAACTTATATAGTACTTATAAAATTTAACCTCTATATAAGCACAAACTCTCTATAAGCACGTACGTACTATATAAGTTGGTTTTAAAAATTTATGTGATTATAAGCAAATGTGACTATAGGAGGTGACTATAGAGAGGTCTGTCTGTAGCCAATTTTATAATCAGCCAATAAAAATTCAAGGATTGACAACCAATCAGATGGATACTTAATCATGCTGACAAAAGTTTTGAATTTTCCTGTTCGTGTTACGTTGCATCTGATCTTGAAATCTGATTCGTAGTTCGCCACAAACCTGGCACACATTCAAGAATTGCTATATATAACCGTAGTGACGTGTTTAATCACATGCCTGTAAAATCAAAGTTTTTGTTATGATCTGCAAAAAAATCGAATTTTCATCTCTCTAAAATGGCTAATTATTATCGTGACCTAGAGGACAGTGGTGCAAATTATGAAGAGGAAGAAGCACAGTTATGGAGAGAACCAATTTACTCTCGACAAAGACAAAGATTTGATGGACATAGTCATAATAATGACGCTATTTCTTCACATATAAGGAGAATGCCTGACGAAGTATGGCTGGTAAGTAATAGATTTCAATGTTTTTATCAAGTTCACTACGTGAATATTGTACTGTACACGTAAATTCTGCTTAAAGATTCCAGCTAACATTGATGCAAAGAAAATTCTTGGCGAGAAAAAAGCCAACCTGCAACGTATAGAAGCCTCAACTAATACACACATGAATTATAACGAGAGTGATGCGGTATGTATGTTCCTATGTTATTGGGATTATAGTTGAAATTGAATTGCCTTTTTCTGAGTGCCAATTGTTTATTAAAGCAAATCGAAATGTGGGGAAACCGAGATGAACTTGCTGAAGCAATAAAACAATGGAACACTCTCGCTCAGAACATTCTGGATGTAAGTTTTCGAACTCTTAAGAGTATTTATGACGATCCATCTGAACTTTATGCAAATGTATGTATATATTTTTTTTATCATAATTAAGGATGAATTAAGAAGAACTAGGGAAGCTAGGAAAGCTCGAGAGGAAAAAAATAAGAGTGCTTGGGCAAAGCCAGAAAAGGAACTTACAGAAAAGCAGCGTAGAAAGCTAAAACGAAGGGAAGAGAGGGCTGCCAAGGAAAAAGAAATGGCCGGACCCAATTTTCCTCGGGATAGAATGCCATACAACGCACATTTCGTGTTACCTACTAATAATGAAATTCCTATTGAACAAATTCTCGGGGACAAAGAAGACGTGCTGAACTCCATTCGAATGGATACCAATTGTTACATGTTTTATGATCCAGTCCTTAAGGTAAGCATCGATACATCGCAAACTATTAAAAGCAAACTTGCGAGATCAATAAATTACCTTTCCTTTTAAATATAGTTGGTTAAAATTGCTGGAAATGAAAGTGATTTGGTAGAAGAAGCCGCTATGCGTGTCAAAGTTCTTTATTTAAAATCTGTCGCGGTATAGCTAAAATTTCTTCTTCATTACTTTATTGAGGCCGCGATCTTGAAGCATAATCACATTATTTATTTTAGAGACGGAGTATTCCAATAAACTTGAATGATAAGTCAAAGCGCAATGGATGGGTGCATCATATGATTGATATACCTGATATACCTAGGCAACCATATCGTGTTAAAATTGCAAATCTGCCTGATTCTGATTGGTTTATGCCTCCTCACGATGTAGACACGAAAACTGCAATTAAAATTTTTGAACCTGTTAGAGATGGGGATCCTACTACTCTTGGAAAGGAAAATGACTCAAAAGAATCTTCAGTAGATTTAGAAACACTACAAAGGTTAGTCATTAGATTTAATTTCAATTTATACCATGCTGTGTAAAAATAATTAACACAAGCCTTAGAATCCAGTTAGAGAATGTCGAAGGAATTAAGAATGCCCTTTTACAAGCATTAGGTGCGATCCACTTGCTAGACGAAGAAATCAAAATGCGTATCAGGTAACTCAAAATCATCATCATCGTTTTTCAAATTTTAATATTTACACTAGTTTATTTTTTGAATAAACTCAGGTTTGGTCAAATATGTCTTACAGATTACCCTAAAGAAACATTATGGCCAATCGACAAATTGAATGCTAAGGTTTTGAAGAGTCCTAGACTAAATTCCAAGTTCGTTACTTGGTTCGTATTTATCCAATTTAGGATTTATATTTATATACACCTTTACATATATTGTGGCTGTTTATGCTGAAATTGGCTGGTTTTTAAATTTTGGATTCCCATTTAAATTTTGGATTCCCATTTAAATTTTGGATTCCCATTTAAATTTTGGATTCCCATTTAAATATATATACCTATTAAAATACCCCGATCACTATATCAAGATCACGGAGTATTTATTAAAAATTTACTTATACTCTTTTATTAACAACTCTGACCATAAACTCCAACATAACTCAAAAAGAAAGGCCATCAAAAATATACCCTAAAAATAGAGTTGTTAATGGAGTAGTATACTCTGGAGCTTCTCCGGGTTGAGCCAACCCAAGTTGGAGTGGGTTTAAAAAAATGTTTAAATTTGGAACAACCTGGAGCAGATCTGGAGCAAGTCTGCTTAATGAAGTGGGTTGAAACTTGGATCAACCTAGCCCATTAACAACCCTTCTAAAAATTTTCAAAATTTCAGCATTGGCTGCCACATATGTTTGTGTACTCTCATCTCAAATAAAAAAAATACTTAAATCTGCTAGTATTACCACCAATAATGAGCAACTCAAAGGACTCTTTGAAGTTGTTTCTCAAGGAGAACAACAATGGGAAGGATCTCCTTTCCGTGAATACAAAATTCGTGCTTACATGCGTCCCAAATCTCGTGGGGATCCAAAATTAGATTGCGTATTTGACGTCAAATTCAAAAATGATAACAAAATTGGATTATGGAACGCGACTATGACTGAAAGAAATGTATTGAATATTAATATGGCATGTTTAGACTAGTAAGTGACTAATAATCACAACAGCATCTGTAAATTATTAACTATTGATAAATATTGGTATGTGCATGTTTATTTAGTGACTTTTCGTGGAATTTCTCCATTCGCACGGCCAAAAGATTAAACAATGATAAATTTGGCCCTCAAGGAAATTTCGTTTATAAATTGCGATTAAGGTAACACTAAATGTATTTTACGCATTTTCTAAAATATTTACCAAAATTCTAAATAAGTCTCAAATTAGCCCAAACAATAAATTGATTTACACCAATACCGAAGATATTGTAGTTACTTCCGTCTGTGAAAAGCTTAAATGGAAATTTTGGTGGGGGGAAAATTATGTAATTGAGATTACAAGATATGAACATTGGAACTGTGATAAGAAATTTCAAAGCATAGATCCTGGAGTAGAGATTGTTTTGGGCCGCGAACCTTCGGAAAGAACATTCTTCGGTGTTACGGTATGTTTTACTTCATCCGCTCTGATTTGCTGTTGATAAATTGAATTTAAGATTTATTTTTAATTTAGTTTTACAAAGATACTTGGGAGAGGGATTTCGCAGAAAATTGTAATTTATCGTCAGGGCGTGTACCAGAGTGGCATCCTATTGATTTTGTCGAAGAGGAAAAGTCCGGAGGTGTTGATCATTTGTTGAATGAGATTCGAAACTTCTTAGACGTCTTGCACAACAATGTTTCTAAGGCGCAACGAAATTAGTAACTTATAATTTGTTGTGATCTATTGTAAATAAAGGACCAATGCCATGATGGTCTATTAGTTATTGTATTTGTGACAAACGTTTATACAGTACTCGACAAGAGTTTTTTTTACTCTGTAATGGATTATAATAAAAAGTTTTATTCTGAGATTTTTAACCAAATTTTTATATTACAAACTTAAAATCTTGGTATTTTTATAATTTACAAAAATTTAATTTAATTAGATATAATTAAATGAAAATTACTTAATTTACACCAGGTGTATATACACACATACTAATTTATTGATTTACGGTTAGGGTGAGGGTAGCTTTAGGGTTAGAGGAGGTTATAGTTTATACTAAAATTTTGCAAGGAATCTTTTTTGTTAGAACCCTAAGTGGATTTTATAATCAAAATTTCGAAATATCAATATATGTGTGTATATACACATGGTGTACAAATAGCAATCGTCCCATAATTATTATAAATTTTATTTTAAAATTTAAAACTAAAGTTAGAATTAAATTTAAAATAAAATTTAAACTAAAATAAGGTTTTTTAGAGTATTAAATATTTTTATTTAATGTATTAAATATAGTTATTTGGATTAGTTTGAGTTATAATAAAAAAGTAGTTATGTTAACCAGAGAAGCAAATTAATAATATCCAATAAAATAAACTAATTTATTAATAATTTATAATTAAAATTTTATATACTCAAAACATTAATATACTAATCCTTAAAGGTTAATCTTTAATATAAATAGATATACAGTATAATTATTATACAATTATAATATATATAAATCAACTATTTAAACTAATTTAGGTAATTTTATAAATTATTAAGGTTAGAATTAAAGTTAGAATTTAAATTAGTTCAAATTAGTTAGATTTTATATATATAATTTTATAATAATTTATATATATCCACTTATACTAAAGAAGATCCATTATAATATATAGAAGCTTTTTAATAAAAAGAGATAACATTTCTTCTAAGTAAAAGTTTTTTAAACTTTCAATTAAAACATCTTAACAACTATTAAACTAAAATTTAATAAAGTTTTTTTTTTTATTATAATTTTATCAAACTATAAAATTAAAAAAAATTTATTAAATTTTAATTTAATATTTATTGAGATATTTTAATTTAAAATTTTAAAAAAAGTTACTAAAAACTTTTTTTCCCTTTCTATTAAAAAGCGCCTATATATAACCCAAAATTATTTTTTGATAATATAGTAAATTATTGGCTACAATTTAGCAAATAATAAAGCAATTAACAAAAATAATAATAGATTAGGTCAAACTTTTAAAACAGCAGTAGTCAATAATAAACAAAATAATAACCAAAATAACAACAATAACAAAAAATTATAATAATAATTAACAAAACAATCAACCCCCAAAAATAATAATTGCAATTAATACCAAAGGCCTTGACATTTTACTATACAGTATCGAGCTCCTATTTGTTATAATAGTAGCCAAATTGGATATATTGCCCGAAACTAGCCTTTGAGCAATTAACAAATTGGCAATAAATATTTCATTTCCAATTAACAAACAAATCAACTCAGAAATTTATAAAATTATAGTGACCGGCCTTAATCTTAAATCGTTCTACCTAGATAGTGACTTTTTTTATTACCATACTCAACCCTCCTAATGACGGAAGATACAATCACGTATATGTTTAACTTTATCGATAAATAAATAATAAACGCGGAGAAAATTGTATAAATTTCTTATAAATGATAGTCAACAATGATTATTTTGTCACCTCATGAATTGCCTCAGCTAAATATTTAACATTGCTTGAAGTAATACCAGCAATTGAAATACGACCATCTTTAGTTAAGTACACATGGTAATCGTGAGTGAGACGTTCGACCTTTATAGAACGTTGCAAAAATGAAAACGTTATTATTACATTGGATGTTAGGCCGGACCAATTTAATTTCCTGTTTAACATAATCCCCTCCATGTTTTTTTAAAAAAATAAGTATTATTTTAACCAATCAAATGCAGTATTGGTTTTTTATATTTTTTTGTATCCAATAGGATTACTGTATTTTTTTTTTTTTTATTAAACAACTTTTTTTTAATGCCCTCCCCCCTCTCACGAGTTAATTTGTATTATATTAAACAGAAAATTAAATTGGAATGGCCTTATTAAGAGAAGTGATTGTTACGCAGTTATTCGATGGATATTCACCTGTTCAGGTTTTAAGCCAGTATAACAAAACATTCCAATCTGATCAGTGATATGATCCCAATTAAGTTTAGATTCAAAATCTTCAACCAAATGACGCTTAAGTTTATTTCGCATTAACATTATGCGATCAGCCATGATTTTCACTTCACTGAGCCTATGAAATAATTAAACACATGTTAATGATAAAATATGTGAAGCATTTAGGGTAGCGACAAATATTACGTAATATTATGGGGGTGAAAATCTTATGTTCATA